CTGATTCTTCACAAATAATCACTAGTCTTCAAAGTAAAGTAGTTGATCAAGAAGAACAAATTCAAACATTAGTCAAAAAACGTCGTGATGATCTTGAAAAACTGAAAGAATTTGAACGTACTAAAATTCAACTTGATCAAGTCTATTAATAAAATATTTTGTTTGTTTTTATATTATCCAATTTTAATTTTTCTATCTAGTTACAATCATATAAACGTGAAGCTCAAGAACGTATTAAAGAATTAAATGATAAATTACAACAACAAGAAAATGAATGTAAAGATACACGAGATAAATTTGCTGCTTATCGTGATGAAATGACAGATACGGAAATACGTATTGAATCACTTGCACTTGATCTTGAAATGGCTGAAGAAAAAGTATTTTTAATCTGAATTAAATTGAATTTTAATCTTTTAATTTTACTAGCTTGAAATTGTCACATCAGAAAATACAACACTAAAAGAAAAATTAGAAGAAGTTCAATTAGAATTAGATGTTATTAAAGGTGAAATACAATTGAATGGTAATAATCATGTAGCGAATGGTATACAAAAGAGAATTGATGATGAACGTACAATTAAAATGGAACAAGCATTAATTCAGTAAAAGGAGTTTCTTTTAATCTAATTAATCGAATAAATAATTATTATTTAGATTACGAGATTTATCAGTATCAAGACAAAAGGATAATGAAATATTAAAAAAACAATGTGAAACATTAGAACATACTGTTAAAGTTTTGACAAAAGAAAATGACAATGCAAAAACAGATATTACAACAATGCAAACAACAATTGCGGATTTAAAAGAACAAGTAGATACATGTTTAGGTGCTCAACAAATGGTTGATATTTTAACAACGAAAAATCTATCACTTGAAGATCAAGTTCGAGAATTACAAGAAACAGTTGATAATCTTGTAAGTGTTTTAGTTGTTTCTATTCATACTGAATATTTTATTTCTCCAAGGAATCACTTTGTGAAATGGATAAAGGTAAGACATGAATGAAAATTCTTTCTTTTAAATATATATATATAATTTCTTTAGAAATGGAAGAAAATGCTAAAGAAGTTGAACATGATCTTCGTGAAACTATTGATTTAGTACAAAATCAACTTCGTGAGGTTGGGAAAAATAACTTCCGTCTATTTTTAAATTCGAAAAATTTATAAATCTTTAGAAAGAACGTCAAATTGAACAACTTCATTATACTATTGGTGATCATGAAAGAACCATACTAAAATTTCGTGAGACTCTTAAAAATATGCAAGTAAGTTTGCTTTGTTTTTTCCAAGGGGGTAACAGCGGACTTCAAGACTTCAGGACTTCAAAGACTTCGATAGACTTCAAAAGATTTCGGGAGCCTTCAAAAACGTCGAACGACTTCAAGAGACTTCATGGGACTTCACAAGATTTCAAGAGACTTCATAGACTTCAAAAGACTTCATAAACTTCAGAAGATTTGAGAAAACTTCAGAGACTTCAAGAGATTTGAAAGATTTTAAGAGACTTCACAAGATTTCATAAGACTTCAAGAGACTTCATGAGACTCCATGCATGAAGTCTCTATTGTATACCCCTTGGATCTCCTCGCGAAATACATGCATTCAGAGAAATTCTAAAACACTTCATGAGACTTCACAAGACTTCATGAGATTTCATAACACTTCAAAGACTTCGGAAGACTTCATAAGACTTCATGAGACTTCATGCATGAAGTCTCTGTTGTATACCCCTCGATCCTTCGTCTCCCCGTGAAATAAATGCATCGATAGAAATTCAGAAGCTTTCATGAGACACCAGGCATGAAGTCTCTGTTGTTTACCCCTTGGTTTTTTCTCTATTCATGATTTTATAAAACTTTGTTGTTAGTCTGAAAAAGAAGATATTAAAAAACAAATCGAAAAATATGACGCACAACTTAAATTAGCTAGCTCAGCTCAATCAAGTGATTTTAAAACAAAAATTGTTGAAATAAAAACTTATGGAGAAATCATTGAGGGTGAAGTAAAAAAAATTGATGTGCACAATTTATCACGACATGTTCAATATTTAACATTATTTCTTCCGGAACAATTTACAAGACGTGGAGCAGATCATGATTGTGTACTTGTTTATTTACTTATACAACGATTAATTTCGAAAAGTGATTTATTAATAAATGAAATTCAAAAAAAAAACGGAACGAATTGATCAATTAAATTTCGATGATGTTATTAAATCACATCGAGCAGAACAGTGGAGTTTTACTTGTAAAATATCACAACTATTAGCAATTTTTCGAATGATTCTTAGAAAATATATCAAGTAAATTTTAATTTTAATAAAATTTATTATTTCAAAATTTTTGCTTTTCTAGAGCTTTAGAAATATGTAATCCAGATATACTTCGTCATTTAGCAACTGTTTATCATGATTTATTATCACATGAAAAATCACTTGATTTTCTTATTGATCTCTTACAAAAAGATCAATTACATGATTCAATATCATTAAATGCATTGGATAAAACAATCACATTCTATGACGTATTACCAGAAAAATTAATCTTTTTTTTCTAAATGAATTTTTTTCGTTTTTTAGCATATTTATAAGAGTCATTTACATCAAGAGAAATTTTCGATGATATATTATCTGAGAGATTTAATACGAGTTGTTTTGCTAAGTAGTGATGCACTTCAAACTGATATTCAACGTGTACAACTTTTACAAAAGGTAAAATAAGAATATATTTTTATAATAATAGTAAAAATAATATGAATTTTTATATAACATAGGAACATGGACAGGTAAAAATTTCTAAATGCATGAGAGAAATTTATTTTTTAAGCGAGATTTTCTGTATAAAAGTTGTATTGTGATGTTTCTGTACATTAGTTTGTGGAAATCTCAGATTAAGTCCTTATATTTTGATTTGTATTTGAGATCCTGAACATAGTAGATAGTTTTCAACTAAATGAGAATCTTATAGAGAGTGACTTGTAAGTCATACAGAATTCTATGCTTTACATATGCGTACTTTCCTAAAGCTTTTTCACAATATTTTGAAAAGAAAATTAAGTTTTTTATGCACGTTTTATAAATAGCTTATGTAATAACAGTTTTAAAAAATATGTTAAGTCTTGCTTTTTCTTAATTTATCATTCAGATGTTCATTAGAATTACAAATCAAGACTATTTCTATTGGGAAGATTTACAAAAGACTTAAACCTTCGCCTGTTTAATGCTTATATGAAATCTATTTTAAAGTATCATCGATCATGAATAATCTCTTTCTTCTGTTTCAGGCTGGTAGTGATCAAAGTCCATTTGCTGCACTTGTTAAACGTCTCGTTGAAAGTAATGAACAAATGCGAGCTCAAGCAGGAAAAGTAATTAAATATGTTAGAATAATTAATCCTAATCTTTGATTTCTTTTTTTTAAAAAACAAATAAAGATCAATCGTCTTGTACCACAGGATGATAATACAAATCATTCATTAATTCTTGACACTAAAACGATATCTTCCATTGAATCAACTATTCGAAATTTAGATCGTTTAACAAAAACATTTCATGAAATATGTTCAGGTTTAACAACTCAAATTCTTATACTTTCTGGTAACTTCTATTTCAATAAAACAAAATTATATTTTTCTTTATCCTTCAGATCCTAACGATCGTGTAAGTACACAAGATATTGAAAATATTGCATATCAAGCATGTGATAAAATTTATAAAAAAGAAGATAGTGGTCCATATGATAGTTTATGGTAAATGAAATAAGAAGAAAGTTTGTTAATCGATTTATTTTTCTATAGGAATTCTATGTATGAAACTCTTTCAACATTAATCAATGTTAGTAATGCACTTGAAAATGGTTCATTTGATTCAAATATGAATGACCAGAATGAAAAAGTACATAAAAAAAACAATTTTTTGGAATTTATTAATTGATGTTTTTTTAGCCTAAACAACCAATTTATGTAATTGCTGAACAATTAAAAACTTCAATGAATGAATCAGATTCAATACGTGGTCGATTGGAATTAAAAGATGAAGAATTAATTGATTTGAAAAAAATGCTTAAATCAAAACATGATGAATTAAGTGAATTGAATATACGTTTAGCATTGAACGAGAAAAAAATCGACAATTTACAAAAAGAATCCGATGAAAAAACGAATAAACATCAACAAGTTTTAGAAGAAACACGAATTGATGCACAGAAAAAAATAAAGTATATACAATTATTAATAAAGAATAAATTATATAGGATATTTTTATCATATATAGACAATGTGAAGAAGCTATGGGTGTATTACAAAATGATAATGAACAACTTGAACAAGAAAAAAGTGCACTAAAAGAGCGTTTGAAACAACTAACGAAAACGAAACTTGTTGATGATATTATGCAGAAAAAAGGTGGGGCTACACAAAAAACATCTGGACTTTTAAGTAATAAATTCACGATTATTGTCTATCTCGAATAAATGATTTTTTCTTTACTCAGGTCCTACAAGTGATGGTGGAATGAGTTTACAACGACAATTATCATCGTCATATAATAATGAAGGAATGACCGGATCCACAGTAAACGAACAAGAAGTATGAATCTATATATGCAATTTATATAATTTCTTATATATGTATTTATCTTTTAGGTCGCAGTATTAAGAAATACAGTTCATTTATTAAAAGATGAATTATGGCAATTAAAAATGTCACGTACAACAAGTGAATTATCTAAACTTCCAATGCCACAAAAAGATACCAAAACAACTGAAATAGCTGATATTTATAAAAGTTCAACATTACTTTTAAATGTATGTTTAATGAATAGAAAATTTTATTGAAAACAAAAATCTATTTAGGATCTTTTTTCAACTATTGCTAATTATAAAATAACTGGAGAAAATGTTGCAGTGAAACAAGAATTAATGCGTTCAAAAATGAAATTAGTTGATCAAACCGCATTTAATGTATATAAGAATCCGTCTTGTTTATTTTATTGAATATATTTATTTTTAGCTAAATACTCGTCTTAATGAATGTCAAAGTACTATTCTTCCTGGTTCAACTATTCAAACAACAATGAAAACATTTTCAAATCCACAATTTTCTAAGGTTTCTATTTTGACAAAATTCATTTTTTTATTTATTTATTTATTTCATTTTAGTCTCTTACACAAGATCGTCAATTAGCAGCAGAAATTCATTTACCTGGTGTGAATACTGGTGGAGAGTTTGATATAACTCAAGAACAATATCGTACTATAATGCGTGAAGCTATTGGATGTGTTTGAATCTATTAGTATGAATTAACAATTTTTTTTTGTTTTCTTTTTTAATATTAAATATATATATTATTTGAACGGCAAAATTGTAGAAAATTTTTTAACGAAAGTTTTATGTCAATATTTATTTTTTCTTCTTTCCCTTCTTTTTTCCTTTCTTCTTTTTCTTTTTTGGTTCAGTAAATTTCAGAACAAAATCTACAAAATAAAATTATAATAATCAAAAAATTAAAATTAAATTTCCTACCAGTATAATTAAATAAACCAAGATCATCAGGTTTAAGATTATCTTTGAATGCTTTTGCTTCAGCTTCATCTAACATTTCTCCAACATTTGTTAAACATTTTAATATTTCATCAGCTTCTAAAACACCACGTTTCTCTAAATCAAATACTTGAAATGCTGGTATGATTTCTTTGTCAGTTATTGTTGTTGGAATACTTAATATAGATGCAACAAATTCAGGAAATTTTAATCTATCCGTTCCTAGATAAATTCATAAATATCATATATATGGAAAAATGAAAAAATTAGTTTTTACTCTCTGGATCATATTCTTTTCCTACACGTTGAAGATCACTGTCACGTGGATTAAAACCCAATGTACGAAGAATAAGTCCAAGATTACTTGCTTTAATAAATCCTTGATTATCTCCATCATATGTATCGAATATTTCTTTCATTCCTAAATAATTATTTTATTTAATGATATAAGTAAGAGAATGTTTCATTGTTGACATTTTCAATTTATTTCCTTTTTAAAAACATTCATCGAGAAAAATGTCTGATACTTTTGTTATTCATAAGTACTCAATTTCTATAGACCCAAATAGAATAAAAGCTCTTATCGTTACTAAATAGCTACGATAAAATTCTAATTATATTTTAAATGAAGTATGCATAATATCTGGTAATATTACCTATGATATCTTCTTTGGATAATACACCATTCTATTATAAATAAATTTTATGTTTCATTAAATAATAATTGTTCACTTACATATTGACCTACAACTTTTCTCATCATTTCAGCTTCAGCTTTTTTTTGTTTATCCGTTTTAGCCGGTTTTTTAGGGGCTTTTCCTTTTTCTTTTGGCTAATAAAACAAATCTATGATACATAATTAATTACTATAATTATCTTACCATTTTTTCTTAGAACAATGTTCGGTTTTTTTTGGTATAAAATTCAAGAATTATATCTGAAAAGAGAAAGATTATATGTTACAAATTCTCGACATACACGTGTTTTTAATCTCTTTTTCCTTTTAACTATCATAAATCAGAAGAGTTTTTTTTTCTTCTCCTCTCTTCACTCCTTTCTTTTTCTTTTTGTGTTGTTTGGATGAATGTTGATTTTTTGGCAGAAAAAGAAGAAGAAGAAAGTTGTTATGAGTTGCTAAGAATATTTGAGCAAATTAGACGCTAAGGGTGTGTATAAACTGCAGAAGAACTGAGAGAGAAAGAAAAAAGTATGTGTAATGTCAATTTGCGATGGTTTAAATATTCTCGCAGATTTTTAATGATGAATAATGTATGCTATTTGATTCTTCCTGAAGATAAGAAAAGTAATTTGAACTACCAAAAAAAAAAAGAAGGCAGTCGTTTAATGTAAATATGCTTATGTTGCTTTAACAACGGCATAAAAGAAGACAAACACTTTTTTTTCTATAAATGTGAATAGTAATTATATGAAGCCTTTAAATTCCTATAAATAAATGTATTTATATAAAAAGAACGTACGATTTATAATATTCAATACTTATTAAATTTAAAGACGATATAGAATTTGCTAAACATCTTGCTCAATTTACAGAGTAAGAAAAAAATGCTTTTGGAATACTGTAAACAACAGGTCGCGTAATCAACTCTTAAATGCACAAAACATTTATAAATTCACTATGACAAATAAATAAACATTCGTGAAGCTTGAAGACAAAGAAATAATTATTGTAAAATGCATTTTTTATTTTTGACACATATAATCTATTTGAAAAGCAATATTATATAATTGCTTTTGTCATGATTGTAATGGGCTATTACTCATCTAGAAAACACTACCGGAAAAACATGTTTTTTACTAATAAGATTCATTGATACCATGAATAATCGTTTTTTCTCTTTATCAGTAGTACTTTTTGTTCTTGTTAAAATATATAATTCATTAATATTTGGATCTATATCAGTACCTGAAATTTCTTCTAAGAATTGATTACGAAACCAATTTATTAGTTGACAATCTCCATCTAAAGGGAAAATATGTAAACAGTTATTTTTATCATAGGTGGGTGTGGGTGTGGATGTATGTATTCTTCTCATGTTGAAAAAAACTCCTTCGGCTTTTAAGGGTTAATCTGTATTTATTTTTTAAATCAATACTTATCATATATAGCAATCATTCATTTATATTTAGAAAAAATTAGTTCAATTGACTTTATAAGAAATGTCATCAAAAGATCGAATTAATTATGAAATGGAAATGTTGGTTGATACGGATCCAGAGGGTTTATTATGATATGAATAGAATGAATGACTACGATATTATTCGAATGATAATTATAACGACATGTTTTTGAAATTAAATTCTCACATAAGTAGACGCATTTTAATATTGTGCAATGGTAAAACTATTAAATACAGTAAAAAACTGATTCATTCTGAAGCGAAAACAAACATAAATAATATATTGGTTTTATATCGCTAACTAACCTATTCTATGATTTATTTATATTGTTAGTTATTGTTTCAACACAATATCTTATGTTCAAGATTCTTTTCATTTATAGTTAAAATACATGTTTAACTGACTTTGAACATCAAATGCTATGTATTCATTTCTTTTCGTCAAGTTGTTTGCTCTCAGAAAACTATCAAAAAAGAAGTTTCATTTATTCAAGTATCGATTTTTATTGAGCTTTTCTGATGGTCATTGAATTTGTCCAAGAAAATATAATAATTAAGTCATGTTTGTGCTTGTTACAAGGGCTTCATTTCACATCATTGACAGGTATCGAACTATAAAAGAAGTTTCAAAATCTTTCGAACAAAATTAATTAATCCAATGCATATTACAATAAGGTCAACAAGTTTAATCCAACAATAAACTGGTATATCTATCAATCAATTAATTAAACTGTTATTGCGATTTTGACGTTGCCTACATTATTTTATAACTATGACATAGCATAATTTTGTTAGAAGATGTAGTGAAACATCTCTCTTTTCATCTGATCATTCTTGTTTTACTAGAAAAAATCATGGACTTCACATAACTCATCGAATAGATTTCAATCCAATGCAAAACTATTTCTATTTTCAAATGTCATACATAATTAGCTACATATGAAATGATTTTTGTGTCTATTTTTCTTAAAACTTCATTTATCGCATTCCGCTTCATCGTCAGATATATGTGTTAGTTTATACAACCATTCTAAAATACCACACCTTCAGTAAATTCTACAGAACTCTCGACTATTGTACGCATTAGCTAAAGCTACCCAGTGTTACTCAAATGTTATTCATAGTTTGAGCAATATTCATTTCATCAAATAAGACTGTCAGATGTTCAAGAAACCATATCAGCAATTCTAAAAACTGATTCGAACCTATATAACTCGTAAAGATCTTCCATGCTCACCTTTCATTTTTTATTCAGTAAAAAATACACAGCTCATAATAATTTGCACAAGTTAACTAACTATTGAGTTTCTTAAGCACTCTTTCATTGTACTCTTTCATAGTGTTAAATTTTATTTTGTTTGAAAAAAAAACAAGATACCAAGGTGAACGTACGTATTATATGTAATACAGGAATAACTACGTGTTATCGAATATAAACATGATTGGACCACATTCCATCTTTTACTTTACCATTAGCATAACGCATTTTACCTCTTCCATTCATTTTGTCATCCTTCCATTGTCCCAAGAGCTATTCACTCATCACATGGAATTACGTTACTTAGTTCATTGACTACTACAATAGATGGTGAGAAGAAATTTATGAATGTCTCTTCTCGTATCGATCACCATCAGACCATGTAAGAATTCCTTGACCTGTCTTCTTGTCATCCTTCCATTGGCCCAAGATTTATTCATTCATCACATGATTTATGCTATTGTATTCATTTTGTACTACCATCGATGATAAGATGTCACTCATGAATATCTCTTCTCGTATCGATCACCATTATGCCATGTGTAAATTCCTTGACCAGTCTTCTTGTCATCGACCCAATCACCCGTATACTTATTCCCACTAGCCAAGAATTTGGTGCCTTCTCCATTTATCTTGTCATCTTTAAATTCTCCCAAGACTTATTCACTGATCACATGAACTATGCTAGCCAGTTGATTAAGTACCACCATCGATGATGAAATGACATTTAGAAATATCTCTTCTCGTATCGATCACCATTAGGCCATGTGAAAATTCCTTGGCCAGTCTTCTTCTCATCGACCCAATTACCCGTATACTTATTCCCATCGGCGTAGTATCTCGTGCCTTCTCCATTTATCTTATCATCCTTAAATTGGCCCAAGACTTATTCACTGATCACATAAACTATATTAGCCAGTTGATTAAGTACCACCATCGATGATGAGATGACATTTATGAATACCTCGCCTCGTATCTATCACCATTAGACCATGTCTGAGTCCCTTCACCTACCCTCTTGTCATCGACCCAATCACCCGTATACTTTCTCCCATCGGTATAGTAATATGTCCCTTTTCCATGTTTTTTCTGCTTCACCCATTGTCCTTAGTCATTATTCTTTTATACTGCTAACAATTTACGTCGAATTTTTTAACAATAAATAGCGACACTTTCTGACATGTTATATTTGAATCAGTGTGTCGTATTTGCTACCATCTTCATAGGTATGAACTTTGAATGTTGAATCTTCAACATCCATTGATACTTCTGTATAAGATTGAAAGAAACAATGATACACAATCGGATATTTCATATAAAAGCTACTTTACCGGTTTGGGTGTTGGTAGATGTATCAATATTCATAGTTGGTAGCGTCGATGGAAGTTTCTCATCATTTTCGCCCAACAATTCCATCAAATGCACAACATTTAATGATGAAGAATCGAGTGCATCACTCACAACACGAACTCGAGTACCCAAACCTAGAATCACTTCGTTTTCTTCAGGAAAATTACTATATGCTGATATGAGTTTTCCATTCTTAGCTTCAATGAGAAATAATGTAGAAGATTGGCCAAGAAATTGTTTCACTACTTTTACTAAACTTGAGCTTGAAGTGATATTCCACCAAGTTAGTTCTTCACCTTCTTTGAAGTTTTTACTGATATCCACATTCACTCCACGCCATAAATTTATATGTTGGCTTGGTAGTTTTCTCAATGCAGTGTCAAATAATTTTAGATAACCATGCCATGGTACTAGTACAGTTCGGTCTTTGATTCTAAGTAGTCCATTAAGTACTCGATAAAGGCTTTGTTCGCCCCAATCCATTGTATATATATAAATAGCTGCTGATTCTTCACGAGTTAGACCATGTTCTGAAGGAAAGTGACATTCAGATTTTGCAATTTGAATGAATCCATCTAGTTGATTTATGTGTGGTAGAATAGGCTCAAGAGCTTGTCGAAGTGGAAGTAATGGATGAGTGCGATAACCATAAACAGGTGAAAGTCGTATCGGTTTATGATCAACGTTTGTAAAGCGAAGCATTTCTTTCAAGGAATAAAATGTAATTATAATGGTTGATCCAAAATAGTGAAATAGTGAAAGACCAGTTATTAATAAATAATGTTTGAGTTTGTTTTGTTTTAGAGCTACGAGTGATTCTTCTTACCTTCTTTTTTTTATGAAGTTATTGTTAGTAAAACGATAAGAAAGAAGAAAGACATAAGTTTGTTATCAGTGAAGTGTTTTTTGCTCGTATGATGATAAAACAAAGCTGTCTACTTTATTGTATATATATATGTGAATTCTTTCAACATACAAAGCAAATATAGTATCTTTTCAGTTTTAGACAACACATTAAATCATAGTGAAGTCTATAAACTTCATAAAATATATCGATGGGAATTAGGGGAGACATATTAAAGAAAATATTTTAGCTTTTACCACTAAGATATCGTTTATTTTGATCGAAAGTCAATGAACTATACATAAACAACAATATCCACAAGATGTTCAATTGATCTTTTGATAAAAGACGTTAGTCGCATTCAACTAAATGTTTAGGAAAAGAAAATTTAGATGACTGATGAATAAAATCATGAAGAATTCATACAAATCATTTGAATAGTTGTAGAAAGATTGACGTTTATTATTTTAACTGAACTTTTAAAATATCTTAATTGTGTATGAAAAGAAAGCATTAGATTTCATTTTATTTTTAATTACAAGAATAACATCACCAGTATGGTTTACATTCTCATCTTTGGAAATTAGAGTATGCAGTTTATTTAGTTAAGAATTGATCTTGGTTGATGTTGATGGGTTAATTGTTGAAATGTACGAGTTATATGATCTTGATTATTTCCTATTAATTCAATAGGATATATCTGTTGTTGATTATGTCGAAATAGTTTTTTTATTTGAGGTGATATAATTGTAAAACAAATCGTTGCAGTGAAAAGTCCAGTTATTAAACACATTCCTTCAATATGATGAGTATATGGTATCAAATAATGACCAATGACATAGATCAGAAATATAAATACGGAAGGTAAACCAATACTAACTGTAACTAATATAAGAATAACAATTCGCTTAAGAACTAATAAATCTCGTTCATTCGATCTTTGTCGTACTTGTTGTATTCGATTTGTTCGACGTATATAACGAATAATATAAACATAAATAAAAAATATAGCCGATATAGACGAACCATAAATTAATATTATTGGAGTAAGTGTTCCACGAATATTCTCAAAAGAAATCCAACATGTAAAATATAATGACAAATATTCATAATCATTTGGTAGAAGACTAGAAAGTGGTAAAATAAATGATAAGATCCATTGAATAATAAATGCAATTATAAAAAATTCACGTGATTGTAAAGACTTTCGTCTATAAAAAGCTATTCGAAAGAGACGAAACATAGCTTGAAGAACAAATGTATTAAAAAACATACAATATCCAACAAAAACAAGATATGCACGTATTTTACACCATACATTATCAAATGAAATAGATGGATTTAAATCACCATATAAACTATATGTATACATAATGAATAATATTATACTTGTTAAACATGTAGATATATAAGTATCAAAGATTAAAAGATAAGTTACATTGGAAAATAATGAACGAATACGAAAGATAATTAATATTAAAATAAATATAGAAATAATGAAAATTAAAGAAATAAGTAATAAAGCAAAACTATTAATAATTATTCCAATGTTCATTTTAAAAGGGATTCTGTTAAAATAATATTACGAAATATAATTCTTATTTAAATGATAAATAAGGAAATGATGTGCATCGAGATATTATAATTATATTAGCGGAAAAAAGAGAGTTTAGAAATATGTATATAATGAGAAGATAAAAAGAAATAATTCTAAACTTAATGAACTGTTAACAGTTTTTTCGAGTGTATTTTTATTGGGGGTGTTACTTTATCTTTACTTTATAAATAAGCGGATATCAATAGCTTAGTAACTCATTTATAATTATTTAATAACAAAATAGATTAGCATTAATATTGAACAAATTAAAAAGTATAGTTAATATAATTTGTCTTGCTATGAATATTTTCTATAATATATGATTGTCATATCAGAACAGATTGATATATAAAAGAGATCGTAAAATAGAACAAGTCAATTAGAGAGAATCTAAATATAACAAACATGAAAAGAAGAACGTGAGCATATAAGATCATTATAACAGTCTTTATGCATATCTGGTTTAATTAAATACGAGATATAACAAATGAGATACCCGTTGTGCTCATTCAAACTACGAAGTGGAATAATAATGCTATACTAGTTTTCTATTTATATATTAATTGCATTATATTTTGACCTTCACTGATTTATCATGAAATAGTATGAGTTTTCATTTACTCGATTATGCATCATCATTTTTTTGGACTCTGTCAGTTGAGATTTGTTAGTATTAATCACTCACACTATAAATCTTTACATTAATAATAACGAAAATAGTCTAGTATTTCCTATAGTCAACGATATATCATCACTATTCGTATTTACATTTGATGGTAAAGGAATATTGTTTGATTGTTGTGTTCTTGACAAAAAAATGCACTGTTCGTACTTGTAATACATTTTTATTAAGATCATGGCACAAACAAGTATGATTTTTCTAAGATGAGCCACTCTGATGCAATTCAATAATGAAATATCGAGCAACTACCTTTACTCAAATATTGTTATTCGATTCCATACAAAAGAAAAAGAAAATACAATCTTATTCTTCATTCTGATGCTATAACATATTTGAATAATAATTAAAAAAAACATGTGTTATTAGGTACCTGCGGCAAATTAAATTGGATTATTCTCTATTTTGCACAGAGAAAGCTTCGCAAACCTGCGAGATTTCAAATTTCTTTTAGACTACATCCATCAATTAATGAAACTCACACTATAAGTTCGATTACAGAGTTTTTTTTCATAAGTTAGATTGTATTATACGAATAACTTTAGTATGTTTCTAGTTCACATATAAAGTCATCTGGCATCTACTTAATGAAACACAGAGGCGAATAAATAAGCATTGTTCTTAAGGCTTCGTACAGTATTATTCATATCACCTGATGAAGCACTTTCAATTACAGTAGAAGCTTCAATCAAGTGCAAACAAAACTATACTTATGTGTCCTTCAGATCAAATCTAATTATTTATAAAAAAAAATTTGTTTTTTTTAATAAAAAGAAGAAATGAAATCAAAAGCTTGCATATCAATGAACACAGTCAGGTGACTGTGTAAAAATAGAACCATATAGAGAAATTCTTTTCTTTTTTTTTATTATTGATTATTATTTTTCTCCAACAATAGAATTCATCTTATTAATTTCTTAACCGCCTCAAGTGTTAGTCAGTAATTCACATATTCTCTATTATATAAAATCAGAGCATGCCTTTATAAGAATTAAGATATCTACATTATTATTCTTACAATTATTGTATTTTTCATCTGTTATTGTGCTTATCTTCTTAACTATATGTGTTATATCGAAAAAACTATGAACTCATATATAATATTGAAGAAGTGAGTTTTATATTATTCTCAATGTACTTCTGCCAATGAAAATGATTTAAATAGTTACTTCTTATTGATTTGTTAAAGATAATGAACTCTACAAATATTATTTTTAGATATTTATTGTAAAAAAAAAGACAATAGAATTATGCTTTATTACCTGTTACTACTCGTTTACTATCCATTTATTCATGCTAATCATTTCAATGGTGGTAGCATTAGATGGCAACCGGTAAATCCTTCTACCAATTCAAGTTTGGTCACATTAACTATTATACAATCCTATCGGTGGACATATCCTAATATAAAATGTGCAACTAATGTACCCATGACGACTAGTGGTCGAGCAACTCAATACTCGAATCTAACCTGTATGTCTGATTGTTCAACTGATGGTGGTTATTCTAGTGCACCTATTAGTACATTAACAGATTGTACTTCTGCAAGTTCATCACTCGGTATGATGACAAGTGAACGTTCAAAAAATATTACACTTACTGCAGGTGCACATTTTTATCTAGCATATGTAGGAAGTTCATGGTTACCATTAGGTAGTCCTACTACAAGTAATCTTCAATGGTCAATAATTACCTCGATCGATATTCGAATGCGACCAGATGGCTTTATTAATACGCCACCAGTTGTTGGTTTAATACCTCCACAATATATAATTGTCAATACAACCGCTCAAATTCGTATACCTGTATCAGATGTTAATGCAGGTGATGATGTACGCTGTCGATGGTCAGTATATACAAATGGATATCGTCGGAGAAGACAAATGGATGATAATGATGTATATGATGAATCAACCACGGTTACGTATAAAACATCAATCTTCAACAAAGAAAATGTACTCGATAGGAAACCACGAGATTCATGTACGCCATACTGCGTATGGAGCTGTGCCAAAAAGTGCTGCTGTAGTAATTCTTATGCGTGTCAAGGAACCACCTGCACTGGCACAAAATGTAACGACAACCCTACATGTACTGCTACTGCTGCAACATCAACTACTATCGATACTCCAGGACCACTTAAAGCAACTTCAACGTTTCCTATTCGTCTAGCAATTGATGAATGTGGTGGTATATGTTACTCAAGTACCTTACCTAGTGCCACTACTCTGTCTAATTGTACTGTCTCTGTGAAAGGTTTGATACCTGATACTTGGTACGCTGCCGCTATTCAAGTAAGTAAGAAACGAACTCGAGTATACGATCTTTATTTTCACACTTTGTACATTCAATTTTTCTTATAGTTTTCTATTCTAGACTATAATTCCGTCAATTTTTCAGAAGTATTCCTTTGTGTAAATACTGAAACTGAACTATATTAGACAAAAATTGGCATAAAATAGAATAGTTTTGACTTTTTCTAAAAAGTATACGACAACATATTACGCTTTTGATATTATCAATTATATGTCCTATTTAATAATGACTATTAACAATAAGAGATTTTTTATTTTATATAAATACAGTTTATTATTTCGTTTAGGTCGAAGATTTTATTAACGTGTCAAGTACCACTCCAATGAGCTCTGTACCAATACAATTTCTCATTTATGTTATGCCTGAACCAGACTGTTCACAAGCACCTGTTATAATACCATTAACTGGTTGTTTAGAAGTATCAGTTGGCGTACCAGTGCGTTTTAATCTATCTATATTGAATTTATGTGATCCAGATGTGGCTGATATTTCTGATATGACTTTATCAACACAAATTACAGGCATGCAACAAAACAATCTGACACATTCTTCAAGTAATTCATCATTATCTTTTGTTACATTTGCATGGACACCGCAAACAAATCAAATAGGTTCACAACAAATGTGTGCAATTGCATATACTGAGTAAATGTTTTTTTTGCATGATTCTCTTTCTTTTATGAGTATGTTTTCTGTGATTTAGGGAACAAGTTCAATCTGCAGAATACTGTGTTACATTTACTGTGAAAACATCAACAGCATTGTGTGTAACAACGACTACGACAACAACAACAACCACCACCACAACAACTACAGCAACAACAAGTACCACAGCAACTACAACAACAACTACGACGTCGACTACAACAACAACTACCACAGCAACTACAGCAACAACTGCCACAACTACAACTACAGCGACAACAACAACCACTGCGACAACATCGACAACTACAACAACATCAACAACTACTACGACAACATCTACAACTTCAACAACATCAGCAACTACAACAACTGCAACAACATCAACTACTACTACTAGCACAACAATGTGAGTTACGAAAAAAAACTTCTATAGGGAAATAAGTAACTACACTAAATGGCAACTCCTATATCTACAATTATGTGAACGAAGGAAGTTTCCTGTAGCTAATTCTTTGAATTTCTCTTATTTCTGACTCGGAATAGATATGACAAGACAATTTATGATAGGTTTCTTTTCCCACTATCCTAGTATAAAATATATTTTATAACCTTTATTGTTTCTCTATTTTTAGAACTACAATAGCTACTGATAGTTCAAGTATGTATCTATCTATTTTATCACATCTCTTTATGTTATAACAGATTAAAAATCAAAGATTTTTTGAGTTCATTTTTACTGAACACTATTACAGGACAAAGAAAATATATTAATCATAAAGTTTCTATATACAATATTACATTTATTTAGGTAGAGGTCCAAGTTGGGGATTAATTGCCGGTATTGCTTCGATTGCATTACCATTGGCTCTATGTACTGGATGCTGTTTGTATCGATTATTCTGGTAAGATTTCATGAATAATTCTCTAGAAATTATCAGTGAAAATGCACTATTTCAAATATTCTTGCTATCTGATATAATTTCGTATACAAGTACTTTTATTCATGTATAATAAACCAAATCATTTAATATAAAGATCCAAAAATGAAATAGTATTTATGATAGTTCATATAATATTTTAATCTCTCTTCAATTCAAACTATTACTATCCTATGATATAATAAGTTAATTTGATGAAATTTTTTATTTCTTACTAGGAGTCCAGCTGCTAGACGTCGTCGTCAAGAACGAGAAGGACGTGATCAATGCCGATATAGTCAATTAGATTCAAGAGCAGAAAGTGTTGAACAAGAACTTTCTCCTATGGATAAAAATTTTCGAATAAGAAAACCTAGCAAAGCTTATCAAATATACAATATTCTTTATAACAAAGGTAATACCAATGGTACTGGTTCGACAATTGGAAATGAACCGAGTATACTTATGACGATATATAATAATACAAATGGAAAACATAATACAGCTACGAAAACTCCAGATACTCAATCATCAATCGCAACAGGAGATGCATGGACACAACCAAAAACACCCGAGAAAGCTGTTAACACTTTAGATGCTAATCAACATGACCCATTCAAAAGTAATTCAATCAATAGCATACTAAATTCGAATGAATCACAACAAGATCTTAATGTTAATCAATTATTTCCTGATCAAGAAAGGTTAAGAGCCCTTTCAACAACATCAGATCAAGTTGATCCTGCTAATGCTTTACAGACACCATTGAGTAATACATATGAAGCGGCACAACCATTTCATTCTCGTCGTAGAATGTCTAATTTTGAAAAATTAGCACGAAGATATCTCTTTGGATTCGGTGACCCTTCTAAGATATCTCATGACTAGCATATTATTTTTCACTTCGCTTATTTTCTATTCATTGTTTGATCCATTTCCTTTTCTATTTACTAACTCATGTTCCATGTGAACTAAAACCGTTAACATACAATGTATTCCATAATAAACATTCTATCGAACAATAACATCTTATATTTTTCTAATCAATAAAATGCATTGACCTTAGATTTTTTTAGATATATAGAGTGCAACTAAATAAAGTAGAACAGTCTTCTGTTTTAAATATAATGTTTTTCTAAGAGAATTTGATACTTTTTTTTAACTATTTACCGAAGATTTTTTGAAAGCATATAGAGTGCAACATATAAAATGTCAATAGTTATTTTCTAGTCCTCTGTAAATAGAGTATTAATATAACTGCTCATAATCCATACACGTTGTGCCAATAAGTTTATAAAAAAATCATATGTAAAAAGAAATAGGATCGTGTTAGTAACTAAACATAACTGATGTAAAGCGATTATTTTGATGATTCTAACATCATGCATGTATGAATCATCAGAAAAAAAATATATAAAAGTCAGTAACAGAAATCATCTTTCCACTTTGATCTTTCTAACAATGCCATCTCTATTTGCCTATAATTTTATTGTATTAGGCCTTTATCTCAGTATTTTGATCATTTTTATAATTTTCCTGCGTCTTGCTGGTTCGAAATCGAAATCGGGATTTTTCTCATTCCTCAATGCAGTTTTTCATATACATGCAATTTCAAACAATGACAGAGAAATTATACTTGATGTTTATGGAAATCGAATGAACTTTTCAACAAATAGAAAACTTCGTATTGCTATTAGAATCGGTGTAATTAGTTCTATGTATATGATGGCACTTATATTTGTTGATGGATGTATTGTATCTAGAAATGTCTTAGTATCAACTGACGTATGTCCAATGAAAACTGCAATGGATTGTTTTCACTTTCAGTCTGTCTTTGACGTTAGTGCAAATCCATTCTTTTGTCCATCAAACGAAGTTATTTCTACTACAAATGTAACAGCACACTTGTTAACATGTTATAAATGGGAAATTAAATCTCAAAGTTTAACTAATATTCTTAGTCAAATGGGTATATGTTCTAGTATCGTATCACTCCTTGGTCTTTTATTTAAATATTTATATCTTCTTGCATACCGTAAATATTGGGGAACGATTCTAACAGTTATTCTTGGATTATCAATAATTATCTCACCAATTGTCGTATGGATGACTTTAGGACCACTTCTTTCTTACATCTTTTTCGCACTTCTAACAACAACAATTATTTTGATTATTAATGCATTATTTCTAGTTTATACAGTATACAAATCTAAGAATCAAATAATAGCACCACAATCAATTACAAAGGTATCCAAAAATATCGAACTATAATTCAAACTTTTCTTTTTTGTTGTTTAAATTGTATCTTGCTTTCAAATATCTTTAATAAATATTCAATAATCAAGAATATTATGTCTTATATTCTAATTCTATTTTCTTGTCATAAATTATAAAAATCATACAAAGACAATAAACGAAGAATGAATGACAGAGCACCTGACATGCACAAAATGATTCGGATTTATAAAAAAAAAACAATGAAGAAATAAATATTGCTTTTTTTTCTCTGATATTCATTAATTTGTTTTCTTTTTTCCTATTGAGCACAATAAACATCACAGTTTAACTAATGAGACCAATGTCGATAGATAGCAATACTACTATCATTTGAATAATACAAATTTGATTGAGTAAGAAAATATAAATTCATTGAAAATAACCATAAACCAATGACATAACATACCATATAAAAAAATTTTCTATAAGCTTGTCCATCCTGCATATCAATTAAATTCATCACATCAGGTATACCAAGTCCATTACATAATGTATGTATAATAAATGATGGTACAAAATGACCTGTACGAATGAATAGAAATGATGAATAAACACCAAATATATATGTATAAGAAAATTGAAAAAGATGAATAAGTATTATAGTCATTGCTGATAATCGATTGTGTTTTTCATGATGGTTCTGTTTGAAATGTTCAACCATATGATGGAAATGAGCAAGACCAAAGAATAATGGCGAAAGAAATATGGCAGAAAATAAGGATACATGTGAATACAGTAAACATAAGATTGATGAACGAAAGACAAATTCTATTAAAAAAAATAAAACATAATATATTTACATTGATGAAATAAAGTCAACTATATACGATCAAAGGATTAACTTAATCCTGTTGTCTATGCATACACTTTTATGTATCATTTATATAATACGAAACTAAAAACTCTGACTTATAAGATTTTCTGCATTATCTATAGATGGTATAATGCGATTGAAGATGAAATAATTCAAAAAAATTATACTTAGAATATAATTATCGACTTCTAAACAAGTGTCAACTAAGACTATTCTATCATGTTTTTTGTTTCATTTGAAAATTGACGAAAATCTCAACCTGTGTGATACCATTCGATTCACTAAACAGCTACTTGTCTATGAGTAAATCAATTATTACAAGCAACGACTTATAGACAATGTCTCACTTAAAAAAAGTCTCATTTATTTTTCGAAATTTTATAATAATATTAATCTAGTTCTAGGTGTTTCATTTGTGAGAGCACATAGATGATATTCATTTGAATCTACTTTCTTATGCATGGATGCCTTTTTCTTCACTTATGACAAATAAATAAAACAATATACTTTACATCTGAAATTATTTACCTTCTGTAAATGGTGCTACAAGATAATTTCGAATAAAAATAAGTCGTTCATTTTGATTACGACATAGGAAATGATATTTCCAATTATATTTATAATATCTCCAATCAAATAAATCTACCCATTGTATAATTGGTCCAAGATATAACATTAATGTTAATAAAATTGGATAGCAGAATAATTTCCATATTGATGAAATATTTGTACGAAAACCTAACCATGCATTTATATTGATATTTGGATTACATGTATGTTTTAAAAACAAATAAATTAATGAACAAACAATAAATACTGAGATAAATCTTCTTCTAATTACATTCGGATGATTACGTTCATATCGACGTGATGATGGAGATAATATATATAAACCAAGAACATAAACAATAGAAAATGTTAAACAAATACTAATTGTTGAAATAAATGAAAGATAATCAAATGGTGATACACCTTCCATTTATCTAGAATATAAGAAATAACAATAAATTGATCGATTTGTTTTTTAAAACTTCTCCATCATCATATATATATATATATTATATTATCTTCACTGTAACACACATGCTTTTGAATAGACGGGATAAAGAGCAAAGAGAAACGAAAGAAAGAAAGAATAAATACTGTCGCACAAAATCGACACATCCCTCAAGAAAGAAAAAAAAACAAACAAAAAAAAAAAGAATTATCGATGAATAGATGGTTCGTTTCATTTATTTTAATGTAGCATATTGCATGAGTTTCTGTTGAATGGGAGGTTTACATTTTACTTGAACAAATTTTAGGATATATAGTGGTAAACATGATATTAATGTAACAAGAAGTACACGCCATATAAAATCCCAGGATTGGAGAAATTCAGGATCGAAATGGGATTTAAGAACAATTAATGAAAGAACATAACAAGCAAGACTTAATAATTGTGCAAGAATCATCAATGGATGCCATGTTCGAATCTATAATAAGAAAAATAATATTAATATAAAATTACAAAAAAAAAAAAAAGAAAAGAGAAGATTTTTTTTTAATATTATTTGATAATGACATCATTCGACTTAGTTATATATTAGAAAGTGTTTCAAGGTCAGACGTGTCTTCTATTGTAAAATCCATTCTTGATATAGATTCAGGAAATAGTACTATTAGCTTTTATATACTTATAATAAAGAATCTCACAAAAGATAAGAGAAAAAAGAAATCTTGAAAATATTAAGTATCTAAGAAAGATGATAATTTTTTTTCTGCTTCTTTATCTAATAAGACAATGTGTCGTTATGTGAACACAATCTTTTTGAGTTTCGATTGTATTACAAATAAGAAATAGAAATGTAAAGTATGCTTGACTAAAGATATTGATTTTTATTCATATTACTTTCTTAATTAGAAAGAATGATCACCTTGAATAAAAATGTTTATCATTGTCTGCTACAGAAATTTAATTTCTAATCTGTCATTTACTACAAATCCTTTTTTCTGGAATTCTCAGAAAAAGAATATACTCAATTATAATCTTAAATTTAGTTTTTACTTACAGTAAGAGCAACCATAAGTAATTCTGTTAATATTAATGAAGTAAATGTAATTGAAACAACATGAATGAAATCATCATCAAACAAAAGAAATGATCCATACATAATTGCTCCACCTTGATAGATTGAAATAAAAACCCAAAGAAAGAATGTTTTAAATGATAAACTTCTTCCTTTTGATAATTCTTTATATAATTCAGGATATGTTAATGCGATTTCTGATCGTACATCTTTATCCAATACAAGTGAGAAAACAGGAAACATTGTATAGACAGTTCCATAACCGACAAGTAGAAAACCTTGATAAAGTGATATTGAAGCAAAATAAAATATTGATGAAAATATTGCTTGCATAACACTTATGATTAATCCACGATGCATAACAAATTGTGATAAAGCTGCTGAACGTTTATAACTATTTCGACCATGAACAAGTAATAAACGTGATAGATATGAAAATTGATTAATGGAAAAATCAGCAGCTAATGATGCTTGTTTACCTAAAATAATTCATTTGAATGTATTTTTTTTTTCTTTATGAAATTTTACCTTCTTTTCCAACAATTCCAACTCCAACATCTGCACTTTGTATCATACTAACATCATTTCCTCCATCACCAATAGCACAAACTCGTACTCTATGATTTCCATATTTTTTTAATAATTCAACAACATTTGCTTTTTGTGTTGGTGAACATCGACAAACAACAACAGCAGGACATTGAATTGTTAATTCCATAAGATCTTTTTCATAAAAAGATAAACATATTTGTAATGTATCACCTGTTATTATTAAACATGCATCAGTTTTTCTTCGAAACATATTTAATTCTTGTAAACAATCTTCTCTTGTTGTTACTTGTTTAAATGTATATATATCATGATCACGTCCAATTAATTTCGAACTTTTAGCAATACATGTTGCTGTTTCTAATTTATCGCCCGTCAACATCCATATTTTAATTCCAGCATTACGTAATGTTTCTAATGTTTGTCGAACATTTTCTTGTAATTTATCTTCAACACCTGTCACACATAATAATTCCATATCACGTTCTAATGTTTCAATAACTTCATTAACACGACGATTACGATCAATAGTTTGTAAACGTGCTTTTGTCAAACGTTGTTCAAATTCTTGATAATGTTCTAATGTTAAATGTTTTTTTGCAACAACTAATGTACGTAAACCTTCACGAGCCATATTTGAACATTCTTCTTGTAACCAATCATTATATAGAACAATAGTTTGCATAACAATATCAGCACCTTTTAAATAAAAGATAATTTCATTCGTTTGTTCATCACGAACTATAATTCCCATTCGTTTTGTTTCCGATGTAAATGGAAACATTTGTAAGATTTGATAACGTAACATTTGTTGAGTTGAATTTAATTGTAATGTCATGGATTGTAAATCACGATGAACAAGAGTTAAACCAACTTGTTCAGTCCATTCAACTAACGCAATTTCATCAGGACTTGAAGCTTGATATGTAACATCTAAGAAGAAAAAATTATTTATGAATTTATTTTAGATTCTAATTAAATTGATATAAAAAAAATGTCATTTATAAGCTTTAACATTTTCTATCTGTTTATCGTCTTTATTATTTTAACATGCGGAAGCAAATTTTTTGACTTGTTTATTTGTCATGCAAAAATCAGTTATTATTTTACTTCCGTCATTTATAAATGGAAAAAAAAGATTGTCTTCATGATCTCATTAAAATCATAGCTACAGCACGTAGTTATATATATATATGTAAGAAAAAACTTTTTCAAGCGAAACTAAAACTAAATTATTATTAAAATATATATGGCCCACCTTTCGATGTTTCTAAAAGACGGTAGATTATTATTATTATTAATATTCTCTTTTCACGCGAAAAGAAATTCTGTAACTAAAAATAATTTTTTTACATGAACATACCTGTAGGTGGTAATAACTGTGTTAAATCTGATGCATCTGTAGTATTTAATGAAGTTGCACCTGTTAATGGTGTATCTGGTAAAGAACTAATATCACCACCACGTCCAGTGATTGATATGCGAGGTATAATAGATGTATTCGCATTTCTTTCTTCCGTTGAACGAGCCGATGTATCTAAGGATGTGGATGTTTTTTCTTCAAATACTGGTGTTACATTATGACATAAAGCTAATGCTTTAACAGCTTCCGGAACTTTTGTTGCTTCAGTTTTTTTAACAACATTACGTGTTTTACCAGATGGTATAATTGGTGGATGATTCTCATGTATAGGTGTTGTAATTGTTTTTAATTGTTGTTTAAGTAAATTTGATATTTCAATATGATTTTCATTTGTATATGAAACTGTACCCAAATGTATACGTTTAAAAATCATTAAATTTTGTGTTAATGTACCAGTTTTATCAGATAAAAGATAACCAATTCTTCCTAATTCTTCTGGTATAGTACTTGTACGTACAACAGTGCCTGGAATATTTTTATCTCGTTGTATAAACCAAGCATAAACTGTTTTACCCATATCAAGATTAACACGAAGACTGATTGGTATCATATATGAGAATAAGAGAAAGAATCGTACTAAATATCTATACCATGGTCCACGAAAACCTTTTAACAGAAGCATAACTATTGATAAAAGAACGAGTGCCGCAAATAATAATTTTGTTAATGTATTTATTTCAATGTCAAGTAAACCAACTTTAGATCGTGGTTTACTTGTATTCATTACCATACGTGTATCTGATCCAGTATATATAACGCAACAACTAGCTTCGCCTGTTGCCAGAACGGTACCTGACCATAAGACATTCTCAACTGTTAATGGTTCATCTTGTTTCCATGATATAACACCATTAAATTCATGTATACTTAAACTAGGAGGTTCAGCATGTATTTTAGCTGTTGCACTTGCTTCCGATATTAAAACAGATAGATCTTCAAGGGATTGAGTAAGTGGAGCTGCTATACGTAATTTCCAATCAGTTTCACCATCTAATTGATCAGTACGAATAAAACATGTACCTGAAATATATATATATATATAGATGTAAGGGAATATATGATTGACAGAATTCAGAATAATTTTTTTCCTAGTATTCTCTGGAGATTTTAATATATGACATTAATGATAATTCTTATTTTCAACGACATATATATATTGTATATCCAGAGAATTGAAGATTGTATTCTCTACTACTTATATGGATATAAATTTCTTCCGATTCTACATTGAGATTAATTCCGGTTTAATGTATGATCAAGAAAATAGGAAGTAGGATTGAAGTAAATTGCATGATATAAAAAAAGAACCATCTTTTAACATGCAACAAAGTTAATCTTACGGATATGAAATACAATGGAATTTATTTTCTGTTAAATGATAAATTTACCTGATTTATCGGATGTTTGCAAAAGTACGACATCAGCTGGTATACGTTGATTTTTTTGTATAATAATAACATCTGATACTTGCAATTGTGAACTTGGAATTTTCTTTTTTCTTCCATTACTACATAATAAAGTATACATTTGTGAATTCAGTTCTTTATCTCGATATGCTCGTTTAATATCATCATAAGCTTCACGTAACATAGTGACAAATAACACAAAAGCTAGTGGACCCCAATATGTATATAAATAACCAACACGAAACATAGGAATAAATTGGGTACATGCCATAACAAGAAAATAAAGATTAAGAAAAAAACGAAACTGTTCGAAGAGAACAAGTGGAATAAATGTTAAGATATTATATTTTTGATTTCTAATAACATTTTTTGGATACCATATGGAATTTAGATCACGTCGACTAATCATAACATTTCGTGGTTGAGTTTTATGTGCTTTACTACGACATATGGATAATATTGATGAACATGATACACCCATATTTTTTTCTGTTTTGGTTTTAGTTTTAAATTTGAATTCGTCTGTTGTTTT